CAGCACAACAACAGAGAGGAAACAAACAAGGACATCTAATCACCTCTCAACAAAAGACTGCTCCAGGCACTGGCAGGCCATTATATGCAAATCAAGGTGTTCAGTTGAAACATTCACACCTAGCTCCAGCAGACAAGCGTCCTTTGTCCCACCCTGGTCTTTCCACAGATATATAAACCCATTTTCCTAGTTCCAGCAGACCTCACTACCTCTGAGGATGCTTGCCATAGATGCAGGCGAAACGTCAGGAGAAAAATTGCCTCTAGAACATGGCCATATAGTCCAAAAAAACCTACTACAACCCAGTGATTCCGGCCATGAAAGCCTTCGACGATACACTGTTATGTATACTTCAACCAATGAATGTGGGGTTTTGGCTGTATTTGGGGTCGCTCTCCCCAAACTTGGAGTCGGAGTAAGCAAGACGACTGTCTCCACCTTTCCTTTTGTGTTTGGTCACTTCTCCGCCTGGCTTTGGCTCTATTATTTATCTGTCCTAATATCTAATCACCTCTCAACAAAAGTTTGCTCCAGGCACTGTCAGGCCATTATATGCTAATCAAGGTGGTCAGTTGAAACATTCACACCTAGCTCCAGCAGACAAGAGTCCTTTGTCCCACCCTGGTCATTCCACAGATATATAAACCCTTTTTTCCTAGTTCCAACAGACCTCACTACCTCTGAGGATGCTTGCCATAGATGCAGGTAAAACGTCAGGAGAGAATGCCTCTAGACCATGGCCATATAGCCCGAAAAAACCTACAACAACCCAGTGATTCCGGCCATGAAAGCCTTCGACAATACATTATTATTATTATTATTATTATTATTATTAGAAAGTCCAAGGATAGTTTCACGTTAAGGTCACCATATGTCAGAAATGACTTGAAAGCATGCAACAAGAACTGAATCATTTTTTTTTTTTCAAAATAGAGATATTGCTCATTTTACTGTGTTCCCCACTGCAACCCGTCTGCATCTGGGAAGGGCTTTGTTCCCCACTGAAAAGCATTGATTTCCTCTTTCTCTGAGTCACGTTTTTCTGTCTGTTAGTCACCGGCTCCACAAGTGCATTGCACCGAGCGGAGTCATCATTCACTTTTATGTACAGTATATTCTGGCGTATAAGACTACTTTTTAACCCAAGAAAATCTTCTCAAAAGTCAGGGGTCGTCTTATATGCGGGTGTAGTCTTATGCATGGGAGTCATCTTAACTCTATATTTTAACTGGAAAAGTTGGGGGTCGTCTTATACGCCCAGTCGTCTTATATGCCGGAATATACGGTATTTTTAACGCATTGTTTGGAAAAAAACAAACCCAAAAGGGGCTTTTGATAATGTGCTGCATGAAGAGGGCCTTTGATGTTCTGCTCAAGGGTTGATATTTGCCATTTCTCTTGTTTATGGGCCCGGCGATCGCATCACTTTGAATCCTACTGAATTACTAGGATCCGCTTAAAAGAGCATAAAACCGGCAAAGAGGTGTCAAGGCAAGGCCAGAAGCAGCAGACAATCAAAATGTATGCAAATAATTGCTATATATATATATATATATATATATATATATATATATATACACACACACACACACACACACACAAACACAAACACACATACACACACACAATATATATATAATATATATATATATATATGTATATGTATACACACACACACAATATATATATGCACTATATATATATGTATATACACATACAATATATAAATATATATATTGTGTGTGTATATATATATATTGTGTGTATATATATATTGTGTGTATGTGTGTATATATATATATATTGTGTGTGTGTGTGTATATATATATGGTGTGTATATACATTGTGTGTGTATATATATATATTGTGTGTATATATATATTGTGTGTATGTGTGTATATATATATATATATTGTGTGTGTGTATATATATATATGGTGTGTATATACATTGTGTGTGTGTATAAATATATATATTGTGTGTATATATATATATTGTGTGTATATATATATTGTGTGTATGTGTGTATATATATATATATTGTGTGTGTATATATATATGGTGTGTATATACATTGTGTGTGTGTATAAATATATATTGTGTGTATATATAAACACACATAATATATATATATACACACATACACTATATATATACACACACACACGAGATATATATATACACACACACACATATATATATACACGCAATATATAAACACACAATATATATATACACACACACAATATATACATACAATATATATATATATACACACATGCAATATATATATATTGTGTGTGTATATATATATTGTGTGTATGTGTGTATATTGTGTATATTTTGTGTGTGTGTATATACATATTGTGTGTATATATATGTATATTGTGTGTATGTGTATATATATTATGTGTATATATATACATTGTGTGTATATAAATATTGTGTTTGTGTGTGTATTTGTGTATATAGTGTGTTCGTGTATGTGTGTATTATGTGTGTATATATATATTGTGTGTATACATATATACTACACAAATACGCACAATATATATACACACACAATATATATATACACACACACACATACACACAAATATATATGTGTGTGTGTATATATTATATTGTGTGTATATATATATATGTTGTGTGTTTGTGTGTGTATATATGTGTGTATATACATATTGTGTGTATATATATTGTGTGTATACATATATACATATACACAATATATATATAAACACACACATTATATATATACACATACATAGACACAACATATATATATATACACACACACACACACTATATATATATATATATATACACACACACACACACATACATATATACACACACATAAATATATGCATACACATAATTTTTAAAAATATCCCTTTCTTGTCCTACTCCCAGATTGCAGCAAGCAGCATCTTCTCTCCAAAATCAAATCCATTATCTTCAATAGCTTCCCATCGAAGCCTGGACCACATTCATTGCTCCAAGTGAGTGCGTCTACACTGCAGATTTAATGCAGTTTAGCACTACTATAGAGTTTCGTGGGTCAGCACTATGGGATTCGTAGGAGTGGGACTTTAATAGGTCTAACACCGCATAAAAGTACAATTCCAGGCATTAAAGCAGTTAAAGTGGTGCTAAACTGCATTAATTCAACAGTGTGGATGCACCGAGCTCCCACTGGCTCCAGCGATCAATAGAGGTTATTTCCTTTGCTTTCTCTTCCTATATAACGGATGGGTATGTGGGTGTTCATTGTTTTGGGAAAGCAGAGTTAATTCATGCAGAAAGGCTCTAACAACGCCTCGTTTGCGATATCGTCAGCGGGCTTAAGCATTCGTCTAATCCAATTAGTGCCGCAATAAATATTGTCAGAGACGGAATGATGGCTATTACGCCTCTGCGATCAACGAGAAAAACTTTCAATATTCATTACTAAAATACTAGAGGTGGTGGCAAATCGTTTCTAAAGTGTTTCCAAAATACCATATTGTAATTATAATGATTTTTTGGTGACTTTTTCGTTAAGTAATTGTCCAACGGGGAAACTTCGGAGGCTCTTTTCTCCCTCTTTGTTAGAGCTATCAGCATGAAACTTGCTACAATGGTAGATCACATTTAGCACTGTAAATTCACCAAATTTCAGAACCATTCGCACATCTACTGATTTTTGGGAATTTTTTAAAGTTTCAACAAATTGTAACAAAAAGTTATTGATGAGTGTTTTGATTCTAATTTTTTTGACATGGGCTCCCCTCTCGTGTTTCTTAATATCACCTCATATAGAATCATAGAATCATAGAATCAAAGAGTTGGAAGAGACCTCCTGGGCCATCCAGTCCAACCCCCTTCTGCCAAGAAGCAGGAATATTGCATTCAAATCACCCCTGACAGATGGCCATCCAGCCTCTGCTTAAAAGCTTCCAAATAAGGAGCCTCCACCACACTCCAGGGCAGAGAGTTCCACTGCTGAACGGCTCTCACAGTCAGGAAGTTCTTCCTCATGTTCAGATGGAATCTCCTCTCTTGTAGTTTGAAGCCATTGTCCCATTGCGTCCTAGTCTCCAGGAAGCAGAAAACAAGCTTGCTCCCTCCTCCTCCCTGTGGCTTCCTCTCACATATTTATACATGGCTATCATATCCTCTCAGCCTTCTCTTCTTCAGGCTAAACATGCCCAGCTCGTTAAGCTGCTCCTCATAGGGCTTGTTCTCCAGACCTTTTATCATTTTAGTCGCTCTCCTCTGGACACATTCCAGCTTGTCAATATCTCTCTTGAATTGTGGTGCCCAGAACGGGACACAATATTCCAGGTGTGGTCTAACCAAAACAGAATAGAGGGGTAGCATGACTTCCCTAGATCTAGACACTATGCTCCTATTGATGCAGGCCAAAATGCCATTGGCTTTTCTGCTCTCGAGCCAGGCATCCCCCATTCTGTATCTTTGCATTTCGTTTTTCCTGCCAAAGTGGAGTATCTTGCATTTGTCACTGTTGAACTTCATTCTGTTAGTTTTGGCCCATCTCTCTAATCTGTCAAGATCGTTTTGAATCCTGCTCCTGTCCTCTGGAGTATTGGCTATCCCTCCCAATTTGGTGTCGTCTGCAAACTTGATGATCATGCCTTCTCCTGTTTTCTTACGACATACGAGGCACAAATGACTTCTTTGCATATATTTGGTGTTGGAAGGGACCCTAAAGACCATCTAGACCAACCCTATTCCCCCAAAATGCCTTTTGGAGACTTACTGGCAGCCGAGACCAGCTCCTTGTGCAGTTTATACGTCATGACGGGTTCAGAGAGGTTCCTGCAAAGGAGGAAAACAAGGCAACTATTCATTCATTTGGGAGAAGCTGGAAAGAGGGGTTGAATCTCTTTTCAAGTCATCGGTCTTAGTGCCATTAACAAAATAATAATTTATCGTGTCAGGCATCCGAACAGTTGTATTACATTTTTTAACAGAACAAACAAACATACAAAAACACAGAGTTTGCAAGCTTGGTAGTTGATTAAATGTCCTTTGACCAGTATCTGTCCCCTTGGAGTGCCTCTGGTGTTGCCGCAAGAAGGTCCTCCATCGTGCATCCCTTGCGAAGCCTGACTTGGCCACGGTAGTCCACGCTCTGGTTACATCCTGTCTAGACTACTGCAACGCTCTCTACGTGGGGTTGCCTTTGAAGACGGCTTGGAAGCTCCAATTAGTCCAACGCTCGGCAGCCATGATACTAACAGGAGCGGAGCGCAGGGAGCATACAACTCCTCTGCTGCACCAGCTCCACTGGCTGCCGATTTGCTACCGGGCTCAATTCAAAGTGCTGGCATTGGCCTTTAAAGCCCTAAACGGTTCTGGCCCTACCTATCCGAACGTATCTCTGCCTATCAGCCCACCAGGACCCTAAGATCTTCTGGGGAGGCCCTGCTCTCTATCCCACCTGCTTCACAGGTGCGGCTGGCGGGGACGAGAGACAGGGCCTTTTCTGTGGTGGCCCCCCGGCTGTGGAACGCCCTTCCCATGGAGGTAAGATCAGCCCCCTCGCTGATGGTGTTCCGAAGAAGATTAAAAACTTGGATGTTTGAACGGGCATTCGGTTAAACAGTGCAATGAATGTGATGATTACAGGAATGGAAATTTGGACGACGGATTGGATCACGACTCTAGTTATGAGATGCATTGTGTTGTCTATTGTTGTGTCAATATGGTATATTATGCTTTTATGGTTTTAAGTTGTATATCGTTGATTGATTCCTATCCTTGTTGTAAACCGCGTTGAGTCGCCTGTTGGGCTGAGAAACTGCGGTATACAAGTAAAGTAAATAAAATAAATAAATAAATAGATCATGTGGCAGGGCTCAGGTTGCATTGCAGCAGGTGGTCAGTGGTTTGCTCTTCTCCACACTTGCATGTCGCGGACTCCACTTTGTGGCCCCATTTCTTAAGGTTGGCTCTGCACCTCATGGTGCCAGAGCACAGCCTTCCAAGTTGCCCAGTCTTCTGTGTGCCCAGGGGGAGTTTCTCATCTGGTATCAGCCATTAATTGAGGTTCTGGTTTTGAGCCTGCCACTTTTGGACTCTTGCTTGCTGGGGTGTTCCAGCGAGTGTCTCTGTAGATCTGAGAAAACTATTTCTTGATTTAAGTCATTTTTTTCTTTTATTATTATTATTATTTAATAAAACTTTATTTTGATTATGGTACATAACAGAAAGGCAAATCGTGGCAGATATAATCAGGTGCTAATATTTTTGACGTGTACATGCCTATCTACCTTATGCAATCAACCAGTTAATTTTGACATTGAGTACAAATTATTATCATTTACATAACTTAATACACACAGACTTGCTATTTCTGCCTGTTTACCACTACTTTCAGTCAATGCTTTCTATTCAATTTTTTTCCATAACATTCAGGAAATCAGCACATAGCATTTTACGCACATCAGACCATACACACATCCCAAAACCCCTATCCTAAACAAAACAAACCCTCATCCCCACACCCGTGCAGCCTTCACCATGACTTCCAACACTGAAACTGCCTTGGTCCTTTCACTGTTGGTTGCTCCTTCCCGGCGGATGTCAGGTGGTGCAATACCGGCTAAGCAGTGTAATTTCTCCAGTGGTGTAGGGCGCAGGCACCCCGTGATAATGCAGCATGTCTCATTAAGAGCCACATCCACTGTTTTAGTGTGGTGAGATATGTTCCACACTGGGCATGCATACTCAGCAGCAGAGTAGCATAGCACAAGGGCAGATGTCTTCACTGTGTCTGGTTGTGATCCCCAGGTTGTGCCAGTCAGCTTTTGTATGATATTGTTTCTAGCGCCCATTTTTTGCTCAAGCATCAAGCAAAATAATAATCAGCAGCGAAACGTACCTGAGGTAGAACTTCAGCGAGCTTGTAATTGTTTTGATGTCCCAGTCATTGTTCTGGAAATCCACATCTCCGGGGCATTTAGGATCTTGAAAAGGGAGAGAAAGGGAAACACAATCAGTAATATCCTTTGAAATGAACAACAACTTATGGATGACTAAAACTCATTGGCCAAAGTGATGCCCAATCAAAGGCGGCTCTTTGCATTGAATGGCAATCTGCATCATCATCATCATCATCATCATCATCATCATCATCATCATGTTTATTTATATCCCACTTTCCTCTCCATAAGGAGATTCAAAGCAGCTATAAACATGGTGATGATGTTGATTATGATGATGGTGCAGATTGTAGTTCAATGCAATGTATATGCGTATACATACACACATATAAATGCACACATATATGCATACACATTCACATATACACACATATATACATATCCACATACATACACATTGATACAGTCATGCACACATATATGCATATTCACATACATGTATGCGTATACATACACACACATATATATATACACATATATATGCATATAAATAAACATATATATGTATACCGACATACACACATATATACACACACATATATATACACATATATATGCATATACATTCACATATACACACATAAAGACATATGCACATACATACACATTGATACAGTCATGCACACATATATGCATATTCACATACATGTATGCGTATGCATACACACATATGTATACACATATAAATAAACATACGTATGTATACCAACACACACACATATAAACACATATAAACATATATATGCATATACATTCACATATACACACATATATACATATGCACATGCATACACATTGATACAGTCATATACACATATATCCATATACATACATACACAGATATACACACATATATGCATATACATATGTATACAGACACACACACATACACATATAAACATATATATGCATATATACACATATGTATACATACACATAGACATAAACACACATGTACACATATACATACGCATCTACACACACGTGTGTGTATATATATGTATGTATATGTATATGTATGTATATGTATATGTATGTTTGTATATATGTGTATGTGTGTGTGTCTGTGTGTCTGTGTGTATATATATATACATATTCTGGGGTCCAATGCACAGCCAGTCCTTTAATCTCGCTGGCTTTGCTTGGCGTCTTCAGCCTGACATCATTCTCATGACTTCATTGTTCCCTCCGGTCTCTGAAACCCGGCTTGGTTTTCGTCCCTAACCGTCCCTTCCATCTTTAAGGCCTTGTCATAGTTTGGTTGCCATTTTTCAAGTTTATGCCCTTGTCAAGCCGGCGGCCCCTTCATCCATTGCTCTCCTCTCCTGCTCTTGTTTCCCCTCCCTTTCGTTTCCCAAGACCATAACATGAAATCGTTGGTCGAAAATGCTGGCACAACTGATCTGGCGCTATCTCTCGTTTCCTTTGTTCGTGGTATCAGCAAGCAGTGAGCCCATCTGCAAATATATCTTGGTGGGGAGCATTTAACAGGCTCCCGAGTGAGCTCTTTAACCACCCCATAAATGTGTCAATTGAGCCTTGCAAATTATCCCCAAAAGCGCTATTGCCATAGGGTCACACAAGGATGCAAAGAGTGGGCACACTTTTCCTATTTGCCCTGAGGGAATAAAAGCAATCCCAATGAACCAAGAAAGGAAAAGTGGCATCTTTATATATGTTTGTATGTATATATACATTAGATCAGTGGTTCTCAATCTCTCTAATGCTGTGACCCCTTAATACAGTTCCTCATGTTGTGTTGACCCACAACCATCACATTATTTTCACTGCGATTTCATAATTGTCATTTTGCTACTGTTATGAATAGTAATGTAAATATCTGATATGCATGACGTAGTCTCATTCACTGGACAAAATTTGGCACAAATGCCCGATATGCCCAAATTTAAATACTGGTGGAGTTCTGGGGAGGGATTGATTTTGTCATTTAGGAGTTGTAGTCACTGGGATTTATAGTTAGCCTACAATCAAAGAGCATTCTGAACCCCACCAACAATGGACTTGAACCAAACTTGGCACACAGAACTCCCATGACCAACAGAAAATACTGGAACGGTTTGGTGGGCATTGACCTTGAGTTTGGGAATTGTAGTTCACCTACATCCAGAGAACACTGTGCAAACAATGATAGATCTGGACCAAACTTGGCATGGATACTCAATTTGCCCAAATGTGAACACTGGTGGAGTTTGGGGAACATAGGCCATGACATTTGGGAGTTGTAGTTGCTGGGATTTATAGTTCACCTAGAATCAAAGAGGATTCTGAACTCCACCATCAATGGAATTGAACCAAACTTGGCACACATAACACCCATGACCAACAGAAAATACTGGAAGGGTTTGGTGGGCAATGACCTTGAGTTTGGGAGTTGTAGCTAACCTACATTCAGAGAACACTGTGCAAACAATGATGGATCTGGACCAAACTTGACATGGATACCCAATACTCAATACACCCAAATGTGAACTGGTGGAATTTGGGGAAAATAGACCTTGACATTTTGGAGTTGTAGTTGCTGGGATTTATAGTTCACCTACAATCAAAGATAATTTTGAACCCCACTAAGGATAGAATTGGGCCAAATTTCCTACACAGAACCCCCATGACCATCAGAAAATACTGCGTTTTCTGATGGTCTTTGGTGACCCCTCTGACACCCCCTTGTGACCCCCCTCCCCAGAGGTCACAACCCCCAGATTGAGAAACACTGCATTAGATTATCTTTTTGCAAAAAAAAGAACCAAGGTTGCATTTTTCCCCGAAAAATGCAACATTCTGCGCAGAATGTATCATATGTGAGGAATTGTGTGAATAGGCCTTTTTATCGTTCCTTCCATGCAAAATTCAGATTTGCTCAGCTTAGCCCTTTCTTCCAGATTGAGAAGATAAATGCAAATCTCAACCCCTGAATTCAAATGTGTTATATATTATCGTTGTTTTGGACGAGCAAATGGAGTCTTATCCATGAAATGGACAACTAAGGACATCGACTCCATCAAAGAATCCTACAGAAAGCATCCCAAACAGAAGGGAGAATGAATCCCTTTTATGTTTGATTCTCCAATTAGAAAAGCATTGCGATCGCATTCATCTTTTCCTAGTTTCTGAGTTGAGAGGAAGGCATGAAATCCCATACAGACGTCACTCGGCATCAATTATTTAAGGCGGTGGGTTTAGAAGTAACTGATGAGTAAAATCAAGGAGAACAGATGTAATTAGACCATCACGAAATGGGTTAGTTTTACTCCAACAATGTGATGTGGCGGCAAAAAAAGCCAAAGGGATTTTGGCCTGCATCAAGAGGAGCCTAGTGTCTGGATCCAGGGAAGTCATGCTCCCCATGCTCTATTCTGCCTTGGTCAGACCACACCTGGAATATTGTGTCCAATTCTGGGCACCACAATTGAAGAGAGATATTGACAAGCTGGAATGTGTCCAGAGGAGGGCGACTAAAATGACCAAGGGTCTGGAGAACAAGCCCTATGAGGAGCGGCTTAAGGAGCTGGGCATGTTTAGCCTGAAGAAGAGAAGGCTGAGAGGATATGATAGCCATGTATAAATATGTGAGAGGAAGCCACAGGGAGGAGGAGGGAGGGAGCTTCCTTTCTGCTTCCCTGGAGACTAGGACGCAAGGGAACAATGGCTTCAAACTACAAGAGAGGAGATTCCATCTGAACACGAGAAAGAACTTCCTGACTGTGAGAGCCGTTCAGCAGTGGAACTCTCTGCCCCGGAGTGTGGTGGAGGCTCCTTCTTTGGAGGCTTTGAAACAGAGGCTGGATGGCCATCTGTCAGGGGTGCTTTGAATGATTTTCCTGCTTCTTGGCAGAATGGGGTTGGACTGGATGGCCCATGAGGTCTCTTCCAACTCTAGGATTCTATGATTCTACTCTACGGATGCTGCGTAGTTAGATTAGCCATGAAAGAGGAAGCACAGCTTCAGATGTTTTGGCGTCTCTCTTACTAGGAGGAAGTCTATCTCCAGAATGTTTCCAAGACCCCCAGTAAACTGTGGAATCAATGCAGTTTGAGACCTCTTGTTCTCCTGTCACTCAAGACTAGGGAACGATACAAGTGGGTAAAACTGTAACTCTGCAATGTTGATGCACCCCAAGTTAAATTCCTCCTAATATCATGCAACAGAAGGCACAATGTACACTCTGTTTGGACTTTTTTCATCCAAGGAACACAGATATCTGTAACAAATAGCAAAACTGGAGACTAGGACGCAATGGAACAATGGCTTCAAACTACAAGAGGAGATTCCATCTGAACGAGGAAGAACTTCCTGACTGTGAGAGCCGTTCAGCAGTGGAACTCTCTGCCCCGGAGGGAGTGTGGTGGAGGCTCCTTCTCTGGAGGCTTTGAAACAGAGGCTGGATGGCCATCTGTCGGGGGTGCTTTGAACATGATTTTCCTGCTTCTTGGCAGAATGGGGTTGGACTGGATGGCCCATGAGGTCTCTTCCAACTCTAGGATTCTATGATTCTACTCTACGGATGCTGCGTAGTTAGATTAGCCATGAAAGAGGAAGCACAGCTTCAGATGTTTTGGCGTCTCTCTTACTAGGAGGAAGTCTATCTCCAGAATGTTTCCAAGACCCCCAGTAAACTGTGGAATCAATGCAGTTTGAGACCTCTTGTTCTCCTGTCACTCAAGACTAGGGAACGATACAAGTGGGTAAAACTGTAACTCTGCAATGTTGATGCACCCCAAGTTAAATTCCTCCTAATATCATGCAACAGAAGGCACAATGTACACTCTGTTTGGACTTTTTTCATCCAAGGAACACAGATATCTGTAACAAATAGCAAAACTGGAGACTAGGACGCAATGGAACAATGGCTTCAAACTACAAGAGGAGATTCCATCTGAACGAGGAAGAACTTCCTGACTGTGAGAGCCGTTCAGCAGTGGAACTCTCTGCCCCGGAGGAGTGTGGTGGAGGCTCCTTCTTTGGAGGCTTTTAAACAGAGGCTGGATGGCCATCTGTCAGGGGTGCTTTGAATGATTTTCCTGCTTCTTGGCAGAATGGGGTTGGACTGGATGGCCCATGAGGTCTCTTCCAACTCTAGGATTCTATGATTCTACTCTACGGATGCTGCGTAGTTAGATTAGCCATGAAAGAGGAAGCACAGCTTCAGATGTTTTGGCGTCTCTCTTACTAGGAGGAAGTCTATCTCCAGAATGTTTCCAAGACCCCCAGTAAACTGTGGAATCAATGCAGTTTGAGACCTCTTGTTCTCCTGTCACTCAAGACTAGGGAACGATACAAGTGGGTAAAACTGTAACTCTGCAATGTTGATGCACCCCAAGTTAAATTCCTCCTAATATCATGCAACAGAAGGCACAATGTACACTCTGTTTGGACTTTTTTCATCCAAGGAACACAGATATCTGTAACAAATAGCAAAACTGGAGACTAGGACGCAATGGAACAATGGCTTCAAACTACAAGAGGAGATTCCATCTGAACGAGGAAGAACTTCCTGACTGTGAGAGCCGTTCAGCAGTGGAACTCTCTGCCCCAGGAGTGTGGTGGAGGCTCCTTCTTTGGAGGCTTTGAAACAGAGGCTGGATGGCCATCTGTCGGGGGTGCTTTGAACATGATTTTCCTGCTTCTTGGCAGAATGGGGTTGGACTGGATGGCCCATGAGGTCTCTTCCAACTCTAGGATTCTATGATTCTACTCTACGGATGCTGCGTAGTTAGATTAGCCATGAAAGAGGAAGCACAGCTTCAGATGTTTTGGCGTCTCTCTTACTAGGAGGAAGTCTATCTCCAGAATGTTTCCAAGACCCCCAGTAAACTGTGGAATCAATGCAGTTTGAGACCTCTTGTTCTCCTGTCACTCAAGACTAGGGAACGATACAAGTGGGTAAAACTGTAACTCTGCAATGTTGATGCACCCCAAGTTAAATTCCTCCTAATATCATGCAACAGAAGGCACAATGTACACTCTGTTTGGACTTTTTTCATCCAAGGAACACAGATATCTGTAACAAATAGCAAAACTGGAGACTAGGACGCAATGGAACAATGGCTTCAAACTACAAGAGGAGATTCCATCTGAACGAGGAAGAACTTCCTGACTGTGAGAGCCGTTCAGCAGTGGAACTCTCTGCCCCGGAGTGTGGTGGAGGCTCCTTCTTTGGAGGCTTTGAAACAGAGGCTGGATGGCCATCTGTCGGGGGTGCTTTGAATGATTTTCCTGCTTCTTGGCAGAATGGGGTTGGACTGGATGGCCCATGAGGTCTCTTCCAACTCTAGGATTCTATGATTCTACTCTACGGATGCTGCGTAGTTAGATTAGCCATGAAAGAGGAAGCACAGCTTCAGATGTTTTGGCGTCTCTCTTACTAGGAGGAAGTCTATCTCCAGAATGTTTCCAAGACCCCCAGTAAACTGTGGAATCAATGCAGTTTGAGACCTCTTGTTCTCCTGTCACTCAAGACTAGGGAACGATACAAGTGGGTAAAACTGTAACTCTGCAATGTTGATGCACCCCAAGTTAAATTCCTCCTAATATCATGCAACAGAAGGCACAATGTACACTCTGTTTGGACTTTTTTCATCCAAGGAACACAGATATCTGTAACAAATAGCAAAACTGGAGACTAGGACGCAATGGAACAATGGCTTCAAACTACAAGAGAGGAGATTCCATCTGAACATGAGGAAGAACTTCCTGACTGTGAGAGCCGTTCAGCAGTGGAACTCTCTGCCCCGGAGTGTGGTGGAGGCTCCTTCTTTGGAGGCTTTGAAACAGAGGCTGGATGGCCATCTGTCGGGGGTGCTTTGAACATGATTTTCCTGCTTCTTGGCAGAATGGGGTTGGACTGGATGGCCCATGAGGTCTCTTCCAACTCTAGGATTCTATGATTCTACTCTACGGATGCTGCGTAGTTAGATTAGCCATGAAAGAGGAAGCACAGCTTCAGATGTTTTGGCGTCTCTCTTACTAGGAGGAAGTCTATCTCCAGAATGTTTCCAAGACCCCCAGTAAACTGTGGAATCAATGCAGTTTGAGACCTCTTGTTCTCCTGTCACTCAAGACTAGGGAACGATACAAGTGGGTAAAACTGTAACTCTGCAATGTTGATGCACCCCAAGTTAAATTCCTCCTAATATCATGCAACAGAAGGCACAATGTACACTCTGTTTGGACTTTTTTCATCCAAGGAACACAGATATCTGTAACAAATAGCAAAACTGGAGACTAGGACGCAATGGAACAATGGCTTCAAACTACAAGAGAGGAGATTCCATCTGAACATCAGGAAGAACTTCCTGACTGTGAGAGCTGTTCAGCAGTGGAACTCTCTGCCCCGGAGTGTGGTGGAGGCTCCTTCTTTGGAGGCTTTGAAACAGAGGCTGGATGGCCATCTGTCGGGGGTGCTTTGAACATGATTTTCCTGCTTCTTGGCAGAATGGGGTTGGACTGGATGGCCCATGAGGTCTCTTCCAACTCTAGGATTCTATGATTCTACTCTACGGATGCTGCGTAGTTAGATTAGCCATGAAAGAGGAAGCACAGCTTCAGATGTTTTGGCGTCTCTCTTACTAGGAGGAAGTCTATCTCCAGAATGTTTCCAAGACCCCCAGTAAACTGTGGAATCAATGCAGTTTGAGACCTCTTGTTCTCCTGTCACTCAAGACTAGGGAACGATACAAGTGGGTAAAACTGTAACTCTGCAATGTTGATGCACCCCAAGTTAAATTCCTCCTAATATCATGCAACAGAAGGCACAATGTACACTCTGTTTGGACTTTTTTCATCCAAGGAACACAGATATCTGTAACAAATAGCAAAACTGGAGACTAGGACATGGAACAATGGCTTCAAACTACAAGAGAGGAGATTCCATCTGAACATGAGGAAGAACTTCCTGACTGTGAGAGCCGTTCAGCAGTGGAACTCTCTGCCCCGGAGTGTGGTGGAGGCTCCTTCTTTGGAAGCTTTTAAACAGAGGCTGGATGGCCATCTGTCAGGGGTGATTTGAATGCAATATTCCTGCTTCTTGGCAGAATGGGGTTGGACTGGATGATGGCCCAGGAGGTCTCTTCCAACTCTTTGATTCTAGGATTCTATGTGTGTAGATAAGGTCAGATGCTGGCAGTTGGACTCTGCGGATAGATGGACTGAAGCACATGTGTTTGTTGTGCAAGGATTCTGTTGTATTTTATGCTTGCTTCTGGGACACTTGCTATCCAGCTTGCAGAGGTATGGGGAGGTCATGATTTGGAAACTATAACTCACAACCAGCAAATCCCATGACAAAATGAAACACAGGATTGGAATTGGGGTGATTTCAGTGTTGCGTTGGGGTTTGCAGGTGACTGCTTTACCAAATGCATTGGCAAGGGACAACATTTCCTTACCAAAGAAGGCATTCAGCAGCTTCTGGACCTGGATGTTGCTCCCGACAGTTCGATAGACCCCTTCGGTGGTGATTCCTGGATGGGAAAGAAAACCAAAAGAGGAGCCAAGAATGATTCCTTGCAAACCTATAATAAGCCTAGCCTTATGGACGTAGGAAGCTCCACAGTGCCATCTTGTGCCGCTCTTTCGAAATGGGATGAAAATTGTTACCAGCAAAAAGTGTGAGTTACAAGTCCAAAAATGAGAGACTACGTTATGATTTAAAACTCCGCAGGTCTGCCAGGTCCATAAACAACTTTGCATTGGAATTATTGGCATAGTTTCAGGAAACTATATTAATTTAAGCATTCCCCTGAGGTCTCATGTCCACATCAAAGCCCGGGAAAACATATTTTTATTGGTACAATGAAACTCCAGATGTGCGCAACATCTGCACGACCAACATCAAGAGCAGGGACTTTGTAGTCTCTCACCTTCATCCATCTCTTTATTTATAGCCTGCCGTCTTCCCAAAGTGACACTCGAGGCAGTGCTGAAAGGAGAGCGAATTGAGTCTCTTGGTGGAAGGAAAAAGTGGGCTAGAAACAAACATCATCATAATATGGCCATGTTCTAGAAGCATTATCTCCTGATGTTTCACCTGCATCTATGGCAAGCATCCTCACAACCTCACAACCTCTGAGGATGCTTGCCATAGATGCAGGAGAAATGTCAGGAGAGAATGCTTCTAGAACAT